TTTGTTGGGTGTTTGTTGTGTTGGTGAATGGCAGCAACTTTGTAGGTGGTGTAATCGTCACTCTTTTGGTTTGGTGGGTGTTGCACTCCACGTTTGTGTTGGTCACCTGTGTGAGTGTTGCGTGAAGGTAGCTTGAGTAACACCTGTTGTTTGATTTGTCCACCTCATGGTGGCAGCCATTTTGTGTGAAGTTGCAGTGACATTCCCTTGTGGTACAACTTGTGTGTCTGCTGCTCACTTTGAATCCAGCAGCAGTAATTAGTTGGCAAATGCATTGTAATGAATGAATTGACCTTAGTTGTTAGTTAGTGAAATGTGATGTGATGTTTAATCATTGTTTTAAGGGTGGGGGTGTTTCCTGTAGTGTCCCGTTTGTCTCTCGTCTCTCCTCTAGCTCCACTGTGATTAACTGATCAGTCATCAATGAGGTGCATCTGGCCGGTGGACTGAGGTTATTGAAAACTCCTGTTAGCATCAGAAGGTAGGTTTCCAGTGTGGAGAGTGCTGGGCCTCATACATTGTTTGACGGTGATAATAAATCCAATGGTCCTGCTGTTTTAAAGGTTTTCTCATCATGATTTGTATCAATGGTGTGATTTTACATGTTGTTTGCCTCATAGGGCCACATAATGAGTCCAGTTATCACAAGCACATAATTGTTAAATGTTGTGTATGGGGGATATGGCAGCTGTCAAATCTAAAAATTAGGCTGTTAAAAAAAAACAAAAAAAAACAGTGTCTTCATTGTTCTTTACAAAGTCAAACATTTATTGTAAAAAAAAAAATGCTTGAAGATGTGTCTTGTCTGTGAATCACTGAAGTTGTATTTAGCCACGAAAAGTCCCTGGTCCCTGATGTTTCTATTCTTGTTTTATCTCAAAAATCTATTGGGTAAACTTGCTGCACTTGCCAAGTAGGTATGTGTTCCTCCAGGTGAGCCATAAGTCCTGGTTACTGTATGTCCTBYATSYKTTTCAGGTGTTATTGTGTCTACCAGGTTGTACTTCATGTGGACCTAAGAAACCTCTAAGCTGTTCCACCAGTGTTACTGAGGATCAACAGTGGTAAGTGGTCTACCAGGTTGTACTTCATGTGGACCTAAGAAACCTCTAAGCTGTTCCACCAGTGTTACTGAGGATCAACAGTGGTAAGTGGTTGTACAGTTCAGTGTTTGTTCATTAAATCAAAAGAGACTTTATATTAATGTGTGTTTGTGAACCATGTCATGTGTTACAGGTTTGTTGAAGCACCTGGATTGTGTCACTGCTGGATTTGTGAGTAGATTTGAACAGTTATTGGTTTGAATGTAGTTGATCTATTGCTGCTTGTTCCATGTGAGATGTAGAGTTGTGTTCAAAGTAATAGTGTGTTTTAAACAATAAAATAAAAGATAGCAGTGTCTGCATTGTTCTTTACAAAGTCAAACATTTATTGTATGAAGTGAAAAATGCTAGAAGATGTGTCTTGTCTGTGAATCACTGAACTTGTATTTAGTTGTACAAGCAGTGTGTTTGAGAACTGCTTCACATGTGTGTTGCATGGAGTCGACCAAGTTG